ACTACCCCACCATAACGTAGATTGAGGACGGGTGATAAGTGACTACCTACCAGACCACCCCAACCCAACCCGAAGACCCGAATTTCGGGTTGGGGGGGGGGTACGGGTTCCATATGTGTGTTTTCTCGAGGTTCCCCGACCCCCCCCAACTGGAAATGGAGGTCAAATCGAGACCTTCGGGTTGGGTTGGGGTGGTTTGGTGGGTGGTGAATAAGGGCGCAAGACCCTCGGAGGCCGAGGTCGGGATTTCTTAGGGTGGCGGGCGACCAGTGATAAAGGCAAGGACGAGCCTCAGAGGCAAGGACACAGAGGTACCCTGGATGAAGGCGCGCGTCCTCGCTAGGCGCGTTGACTGTACCCTACCATGCCCCCGGATTGTTGAAGGCTCCGGGAGACCTGCCCTCGGCGACTGCGCCGCGTTCGGGTTGCAACGGAATCCCCCTCGCGTCGCTGTTGCCCTCTCCCAAGTAGGTTGGACGAGGCGATTTTGACGATGGCGCGATCTGACGAATCTCAGTTTGACGAGGTCGAAACGGGATGCGACGACATTTGACGAACTTTAATGGGATTTGACGCGAGCGACTTTTTCGAGACATCCTCGCTAAAGTTTGACGAGACTTTGAAGAGTGCCTTCGGGGAGGGAAACTGACTTCGACGACAGCAACTCTGGGCAAGTCTTGACACGAAGATTCGTCAAATCACGGCCTCGTCAAAGTAAACCTCGTCAAACTAGGGGAGGCGGGGAAAAGAGACATCGCAGACTGCGCGGGGGGTAGCGTTGCGACCCGAACACACCGCAGCCGCCGAGGGGGGCACTGCCCGGCACGCTCCTTCGAGCTCCCCCGAACTCCTTTGAAATCCCCCCCACGGGCCCGGAGCGGCCCCTTGCCTTCTTTGGAAATCACCCTCCGAAGGAATGATTATTCAAAGCAGGCAAGGGCCTCTGCGTATGGAGATGTCTGGAGCTTTTTCAATAGATCCGGAAAAAATGTAGGATCTTTCGACCGATCATGGGGCACTTTGGGGGGCCTCTGGGGGCCCTCTTGGGGGCCTCTCGAGTGTTTCCGGGCCCGCGCGGGCCTCTTCGAGGGCCCTGGCAAGGGTCCAGGAAGGCCCCGAGAAGGCTCCAATAGGGGCCCCGAACAAAAATCCCGAGAGGGCCGCCGAGAGGGCCTCAAAATCGGCCACGCAAGAGAGGCTTCGCGTGACCGCGCTGGGGGTCCTCTTGAAACCGCCTTGGGGCCCTGAGCTGCTTCGGGGCCCCCCCGGGGCCCCTTCCATCGTCCGAAGGGCCCTCAGACAGCTCGAAGAGGGCCCCAAGACCGCCCAAAGAGGGCCCTAAGAGCAGTCACGCGAAGCTTCTCTAGCGCGACCGATCTTGGGGCCTTGATGGGGCTCTCTTGGAACTGTCTTGGGGCATTCTTGGAGCCGTCTCGGGGCCCCCCTGGGCCTTCTCCGAAGGTCCTCAGACGGCTCCGAGAGGCTCCAAGACAGCTCCATGAGGGCCCCCAGAGCGGTGGTCACTGAAGGGGCCGAACGATTCATCCACGGCGCGACCCACCGACAACCCACCATCGACACACTCGCGACCCATCGGCGACGCAAACCACCCGAGGTCCACCCGCGCTGCGACATGCCCGCGCCGCGACCCACCCGCGTTGCGACCAAACTGCCAAACCGCCAGGGGGGGGGAGTGAGAAGGAGAAGGCCTTCTCAGAAGGCGGCGGGACTTCTCATACCCTCGCACATTCTGATAAATGCACAGTGCTTTCGGGGAAGGCATAGAAAACTTCTCAGAAGGCTGGGGGGCTTCCGAGCCTTCTGAGAAGGCCCGCCCCTTCTCACTTCCACCCGGGGTTCGACGCCGAAACAACAACAAACAGGATCTTCACCGTGGATCCCCACTTCAGCCACGCACCCAGGGACACTGCAAGACCGCTCGCCCCCCTCACTCTGATATACGTCGCCATGCCATGAAAAAATCCTCCACGAACAAAGCCGCCCATGCCCTCATGCGCGAAAGAACGCTCGCTAAACGAGATCCTGTAATGTAGTTCCGCACCCGCGGCCGACGCAGAAATGACGTCAGCGGGTGTCTGGGCTTACGGCAAAGCGCCCGGTGGTCTCCATGAGCATGCCTGCGAAATTGCCCTGCCCAACCGGCCAAACGCACCGCTGACATTTTCGATGCTTCGCGATGTTTGGACGACGGCGGGCGATATGAATGGCCGGCCCCTTCCAAGAATGCGCTCTTACCTGGGGCCCGAACTGAAGCGCCCCTGGAAAACGCGAAGCGAGCATCTCGCGCAGAGGTTCTAGCATCATGAACGTCCGGGACGATCTCCTGCACGTCGCTTCAACGCAGAGGCGCTGATCTGAACGCAAGGCGCGAGGACATACCTGGCGCCCCTGGGGGCACCTCGGCCCAGGGGCACTTCTAGCAACGCTTGATTCTGGGACCCCACCCAGCAAAAATCGCCCCAGACCTCCCCGACCACGCGCCCACCTTGCCCCCGCAGGAAAACTCGAAAGCCTCCCCGGGGTCGGCGGCAGAGGCGGCAGCCTTCAAATCCGGCCGCTCCCGCCCTGCGGGTTGGGCCGTGCGAGACCTCTCTGACAAAGTGTTCGGCACTATCTTTCCCCTTCCTTCGCCAGTGGCTGGTCAAAGCCCTCCTGAAAGTCCCTCCGAGGGGGCCCCACTCTGCCGGCGGACCCCCCCTCCCTGAACAGTTCCGGCGCCCGGGGGCGATTCAAGAGCGCCCTGAAACGGGCCAAGAGAGCCCCAAGACGGCCCAAGCGAGCCTCCAGACGTTTCCAGATCGCTCCAAGACGCCTAAGATGGCCTCCAGACGGCCCAAGACGCCTCCAAGACGGCCCAAGAGGGCTCCAAGAGCACCCCCAAGACAGCCCCGAGAAGCAAAAATCATAGATTTTTCAATGGTTTTTGAAGGATTTACACGTTCACGCCATTTCGGCTTACCCACGCTCCACGATGGCCCAAGAGGCCCCCCAGATCGCCCCAGGACGGCCCAACAGGCCCCCAAGACGGCCCCAAGACGGCCCAAGAGGGCCCCAAGACCGCCCAAGAGGCCCCCGGAACGGCCCAAGAGGGGTCCCAGGATGGCCCCAAGAGGAGGCCCAGAAGGGGTACCCGAATGAACATGTCGAGCTTTCGGCTCGAGAGGCCCCCAGGAGACCCTAAGAGGCCCCCTGGAGGCCCCCAACAAACCCCAAGAGAGCCCCAAGAGGCCCCAAGAGGGCCTCAAGAGGTCTCCAAGAAGCCCCTGGGACGCCCCCAAGAGGCCCCTAAACTGCCCCGCAGAAGCCTCCGAGAGCCCTCTCGAGAGACCCCAGGAAGCGTCCATGAGGACTCCGTCCGACCCAAAACCCAAGCACGGTGGCGGGATGGGGCGACGGCTATTTGATAGCTGGCATACGCGCCGCGTCACGACTTTCGATGCTGCGCACCTCTTCGAAAAACTCCCAGGGAGCGGCCGGTGATGCGCCGCCGGCGTCCTCGATCGGGCCGCTCCCGCCCCGCGGGTTGGGCCGTGCGAGACCTCTCTGAAAGAGTGTTTGACACAGTCTTTAGCCCCATTCGCCAGTGCCAGGTCAAAAACCGACCTAAAAGTCCCTCCGAGGGGGCCCCACTCTGCCGCCGGCCCCCCCCCCTCCTTCAAGGTCCGGAACAGCCCGGGGAACGCCCCAAACCGGTCAAAGAGAGCCCCTAGACGGTCCAAGAGAGCCTCCAGACGGTTCCAGATCGTTCCAAGACGCCCAAGATGGCCTCCAGACGGAGCAAGACGCCTCCGAGACGCCCCAAGAGGCCTGCAAGAGCACCCCCGAGAGAGCCCCAAGAGACAAAAATCCTTGATTTGTCGATGGTTTTGAAATGATTTTCACGTTCTCGTCATTTCGGCTTACCGATGCTCTAAGACGGCCCAAGAGGCCCCCGAGATCGTCCCAAGACGGCCCAGCAAGCCCCCAAGAGAGCTCCAAGACAGCCCGAAAAGGCCCCAAGACGGCCCAAGAGGCCCCCGGGACGGCCCAAGAGGGGCCCCAGGACGTCCCCAAGAAGGCACCCAGAAAGGGAAGTCGAATGAACATCTCGAGCTTTCGGTCCCAAGAGGCCCCCAGAGGCCCCCTGGAGGCCCCCAAGAGGCCCCAAGGGAGCCCCATGAGGCCCCAAGAGGGCCCCAAGAGGCTCCCACAAAACCTCCAAGAGGCCCCCAAGAGTCCCGAAACTCCCCCGCGAAAGCCCCCGAGAGCCCTTTCGCGAGACCCCAAGAAGCGTCCATGAGGACTCCGACCCGAAACCCACGCGTCACGACTTTCGTTGCTGCGCACCACTTCGGTAAACTCCCAGGGAGCGGCCGGTGATGCGCCGCCGGCGTCCTCGATATGATGGAACATTCCCCCGCGGGGCGCGCCAGACGCAGGGTGGGCGGGCGCAGAATTACCCTGCGACGTACCCAACCCATGCGCATTAAGCGACAAGACGAGTTGGCCCACACTTGCCCGGGCAATGCCAGTGCGGGCACCGTTATATGATATGCAAGCTGCGCAGGGTGCACTCACGCGGCACGAATCACAGGACAACACCTGCGCCTGCGCAGGCGGATACGACGAGGTATAGCTGCCAGATGCCTCGGCGCCTTTGTTGTGCCACTCTGCTGCTGAACTGCAGCACGGCACCTGCCCGTGCCACCGCTGCGCGTACCCCCCTCGTCGTGCGCCCTCCCTGCGGCCTCCTCCAGAGAGTGCGGGCTCGGCGAGAACAGGGGCGAACGGAGGAGGAGGGGGTTGAGGAGGAGGAGGAGGAGGAGGAGGAGGAGGAGGAGGAGGAGTTTCCAGCAGTTTCATTTCTCACGTGGAGGAGGAGGAGGAGGAGGAGGAGGAGGAGGAGGGGAAGGAGGAGAGGAGGAAGAGGAGAAGAAGGAGGAGGAGGAGAAGGAGGAGGAGAGAAGGAGGCGGAGGAGGAGGAGGAGGAGCCCTGCGGCCTCCTCCAGAGAGTGCGGGCTCGGCGAGAACAGGAGCGAGCGGACCAGGGCAGAGCCTCGGGGAGGCAGCACCACGCCGTCGCCGTCGCCCGCCTCGTCCCTCGCCCGCCTGCTCCCCCATGCCCCTCCTCCTACAAATGATGCTTCTCCTGCTTCCAATCGTCGTTGTCGTCGTCGTCGTCCTCCTCCTCCTCCTCCTCCTCCTCCTCCTCCTCCTCCTCCCTCCTCCTCCTCCTCCTCCTCCCTCCTCCTCCTCCCCATCTTGCTCCTCTTACGCCTCCTGCTGCCCCCGCTGCTTTCAATGCTGTCTTGGGTTCTGGAGCCGACATCACGCAGCCCGTACGTGGGAGCGAGCGGTAGATGACAGAATGCTAGTGTGATAGGTCGACGAGTTATGAAGCCGATGAGCTCGTGTATAATGAGATAGGCAGATGCACCGAGAGACCGATGGATAATGTGATCGACCGATACCTGAATAGCGAAACCGGTATGCTGACAGTGATACCGACATATAGTTAGATCAATATTCTATGCATCCACCGACCCCCGCTTGCTGGGGGTGACGAGACGTGTGAGATGATTGGCTGTCCCCCACCCCCTTTCCCTCTCCCCTGGGGCAAGCATCGCTTTCGAGGGGGGGCATCGGGGGAGGGGGGCGCGCTCGTCAACGCATCCTGGGGGCTCTCCGGATCCTCCAAAGAGCCTTAAACTGGCCCGGTGAGCGCCGAGACGATCCAAGAGAGCGTCGAGACGGCCCACGAGTGGTTTCAAAACGACCTACGAGGCCCCCAAGACGGCCCAAGTGTTCCCAAAGGGCCGTCGAGAGGGCCCCGAAAGGCAAGAACCATTTGATTCCCGACGGCAAACGTACATCTTCGACACACGCGCCTCGTGTCTTGACAGCGTCCACTACGGCCCAAGGATCCTCAGCATCCAAGTGGCCTCTGACGTACAATCGAGGCGCGGCGGCAGGATGGGCCGAAGGACGCTAGATCCGCCGCCCCCTGCTTGCAGGGGTGCACGGCGTGCTGGACGTTTCAGGTTTTGGTTTTGGTTCTTTTTCTAAAAGAACTCCCCAGTGGGCTTCGGCCCGTCCCGCCGGCCACCCGTAATTTTCCCAAAATCCGTCTGTCAATGCCTTTGTTGCCCCAACTTGGCCCAAGATGGCCTCCAAGACGGCCAAGATGGCCCAAGATGGCCTCCAAGATGCCTCCCAGACGGCCAAGATGGCCTCCAAGACGGGTAAGATGGCTCCAAGATGCCTCCAAGACGGCCCAAGATGCCCTCCAAGACGGCCAAGATGGCCCCAAGATGCCTCCAAGATGGCCCAAGAGGCCTCCAAGACGTTCTCCAGGAGAGCCCGAAGAGGCCAAAATCATTGGTTGTCCTTTGGTTTTTGAAGGTTTTTTGCGTTTTCTTCTTTTCGGCCTTCCGACGGCCCAAGAGGCCCCCAAGATCGCCCAAGAGGCCTCCAAGAAGGCCCTATGACGGCCCAAGGGCCCCCCAAGACGGCCCCAAGAGCGCCCCAAGACGGCCCAAGAGGCCTCCAAGACGCCCAACATGGCCTCCAAGACGGCCCTGAAGCGCCCCAAGAGGGCCCCAAGACGGCCCAGAGAGGCCCCCAAGACGGCTCCAGACGGCGTCAGACGGACCAGGAACGCCCTAAGACGGCCAAAGAGACCCCCAGGAAGCCCCCAAAGGCCCCCAAGAGGCCCAAGGAGGCCCCCAAGATGCCTCCAAGAGGCCTCGAAGAGGCCCCCAAGAAGCCCCCAACAGACCCCAAGGGTGCCCCAAGAGACTCCTAACAACCCTCATCCTCCTACTCTATTTCTTCCTCTTCCTCTTCCTGTTCATAATCATTCTCTCCCATGTGTTCCCCGAAAGCTTTCCAAACCGACTCGGGGAACTCATGGTCCGATAGCTTGGCCAAGCTCTAGTCCAACTTTCGGCCACATCGGCGTTTCCAAAAAGGCAGGGGGCGGCGGTGATTCGCCGTAGGCGTCTTCGATCCGCCGCCCCGTGTTGATTCATCACAGGGGTGCCTGGCGTGCTGGACTTCTTACGGTTTGGGTTTTGGTTCTTTTTCCAAAAGAACTCCCCCTGGCGCTTCGGCCCGTCCCGCCGGGGTCCGGGAGGGAACTCCAGGCCCGCAAACGACCTCGACGTCCACCAAGACGGCTCAAGATGGCCTCCAAGATGGCCACGTTGGCCCAAGATGGCCTCCAAGATGGTGCAAGATGGCCTCCGAGTCCGCCCAAGATGGTCCAAGACGGCCGCCAAGACGGCCTGAGAGAGTCCAACATACCTCTAAGTTCGCTCGAGAGAAGCCTCCAAGACGGCCCAAGAGGCCTCCAAGAGGTCCTCCAGGAGGGCCCGAAGAGGCCAAAATCATTGATTTTCCTTAGGTTTTTGAAGGATTTTGGCATGTGCCTCTTCTCGGCATTCCGACGGCTCAAGACGGCCCAAGAGGCCGCCAAGATCGCCCAAAGATCGCCCACGAGGCCTCCAAGAGGGCCCCAGAACGGCCCAAGAGGCCTCCAAGATGGCCACATGACGGCCCGCACAAAGACGACCCAAGAGGCCTCCAAGACGCCCAAGATGGCCTCTAAGAAAGCCCTGGAGCACCCCAAGAGGGCCCCAATTCGGCCCAGAGTGGCCCCCAAGACGGCTTCCGACGGCGTCAGACGGGCCAGGAGCCCATCAAGATGGCCGAAGTTGGCTCGAACATGGCCCAAGACGGCCCAAGAGGCATCCAAGAGGGCCTCCAGGAAGGCCAGAAAAATGCCAAACATATTAATTTCCAATGGTTTTTGAAGGACTTTGTAATTTGCTTCTTTTCGGCTTTCCGACGGCCCGATACGGCCCAAGAGCCCTCAAAGATCGCCCAAAGATCGCCCAAGATGCCTCCAATATGGCCCCAGAACGGCTCAAGAGGCCCCCAAGACGGCGCCAAGAGGCCCCCAAGACGGCCCAGGAGGCTTTTAAGACGCCCAAGATGGCCTCCAAGACGGCCCTGGAGCATTCCAAGAGGGCCCCAAGTCGGCTCAGAGAGGCCCCCCAAACGGCTTCCGACGGCGTCGGACGGACCAGGACCCCACCAAGACGGCCCAAGATGGCACTAAGATGGCCCAAGACGGCCCAAGAGGCCTCCAAGAGGGCCTCCAGGAAGGCCCGAGAAGGCCAAAATCATTGATGTTCCATGAGTTGTTGAAGGACTGTGGCATTTGCTTTTTATCGGCCTTCCGACGGCCCGAGGCGGCCCAAGTGCCCCCAAAGATCGCCCGAGAGGCCCAAGACGGCCCCAAGAGGCCCCCAAGACGGCCCAAGAGGCCTCCAAGAGGGCCTCCAGGAAGGCCAGAAAAAGCCAGAAACATTGATATCCCATTAGTTGTTGAAGGATTTTGACATTTGCTTCTTTTCGGCCTTCCGATGGCCCGATACGGCCCAAGAGCCCCCAAGGATCGCCCAAAGATCGCCCAAGATGCCTCCAAGATGGCCCCAGAACGGCCCAAGAGGCCCCCAAGACGGCCCCAAGAGGCCGCCAAGACGGCCCAGGAGGCCTTTAACACGCCCAAGATGGCCTCAAAGACAGCCCTGGAGCATTCCAAGAGGGCCCCAAGTCGGCTCAGAGAGGCCCCCCAAACGGCTTCCGACGCCGTCGGACGGGCCAGGGGCCCACCAAGACGGCCGAAGATGGCACTAAGATGGCCCAAGACGGCCCAGAGGCCTCCAAGAGGGCCTCCAGGAAGGCCCGAGAAGGCCAAAATCATTGATGTTCCATGAGTTGTTGAAGGACTGTGGCATTTGCTTTGGCCTTCCGACGGCCCGAGGCGGCCCAAGTGCCCCCAAAGATCGCCCAAGAGGCCCAAGACGGCCCCAAGAGGCCCCCAAGACGGCCCAAGAGGCCTCCAAGACGCTCAAGATGGCCTCCAAGACGGCCCAAGAGCCCTCCAAGACGTCCTCCAAGAAGGCCCGAAAGGATCAAAATGGCATCCAGACGGCCAAGATGACCTTCAAGATGCCCACGTGTCCCCCGAAGGCTTTCCAAACCGACTCGGGGAACACATGGTCCGATAGCTTGGCAGGTCTGGCCTCAACGTTCGGCCACATAGGCGCTTCCAAAAAGGCAGGGGGCGGCGGTGATTCGCCGTAGGCGTCTTTGATAAGCCCCCCTACCCTACCGACCGCTGACCCGAGTCACTCCCAGCACCCTCCCACCACTCGTGTCAAAACATTGGCCTGACGAAAGGCTAAGCCAGATGCAACTTCGGGTACCGCAAGGGGGGTGAGACGAAGGATGGAGGCGCGCAAACTCCGAGATGCTCTCAGAGGCAGCGCGTCGCAAGCAGAACGAGGCGGGGGCGGTGCAGTGCAAGCAGAACGAGGCGGGGGGAGCGGAGCAGGATGGTGGGCTCTCAGATGTTTCCCCCTCTGAATTCTCGCGCCCTCGTGACCGCGGCTCTGGGCAGAGCGCAGCGCGGAGTCCCCGCGACGCGCGCTGGCTGCCCCGCAAGGGGTCCAGGCGAAGCGCGCGGATTTTCCGCTGCGCGAAGCAAGGGGAGCCAGCTGGCTGGCCGACCGCGGAACAGGCGCTGGCCGCCGGGCGCGGGACGAATGTGGACGCAACCACTGGGGCCTTCGGAGGAGCTCCATGTGGGTGTGCCGAGATGGGCGCGGGACGCCTGTGGACGCAGCCACTGGGGCCTTCGACGGAGCTCCCAATGGAGCCACGTGCCGTGTGAAGGGTGTGCCGAAATGGGCGCGGGACGCCTGTGGACGCAGCCACTGGGGCCTTCGGTGGAGCGCCCTATACGGCCACGAACCGTGTGAAGGGTGTGCCGAGATGGACGCGGGACGCATGTGGACGCAGCCACTGGGTCCTTTGGCGGATCTCCCTATGGGGCCACGTGCCGTGTGAAGGGTGCCGAAATGGGCTCGGGACGCCTGTGGACGCAGCCACTGGGTCGTTCGGCGGATCTCCCTATGGGGCCGCGAATCGTTCGAGGGGTGTGCCGAGATGGGCGCGGGACGCATGTGGACGCACTGGGTCCTTTGGCGGACCTCCCTATGGGGCCGCGAATCGTTCGAGGAGTGTGCCGAGATGGGCGCGGGACGCATGTGGACGCAACCACTGCGGCCTTCGGTGGAGCTTCCTATGGGGCCACGTACCGTGGAAGGGCTGCACCGAAGGCGCCGGACGCATGTGGACGCAACCACTGGGGCCTTCGGTGGAACTCCTTATGCCTTGTACCGTGTGAGGGGTGTGCCGAAGTGGGTGCGGGACGCATGTGGACGCAACCACTGGGGCCTTCGACGGAGCTCCCTATGGGGCCACGTATCGTGTGCTGTGCCAACATGGGCGCCGGACGCCTGCGGACGCACTCACTGGGGCCTTCGGTGGAGCTCCCTATGCGGCCACGAACCGCGTGAGGTCTGTGCAGGAGTGGACGCGGGACGCCTGTGGACGCAACCACTGGGGCCTTCAGCGGAGCTTCCTGTGAGGCCACGATGCGCGTGAGGGCTGTGCCGAAATGGGCGAGGGCCGCATGTGAACGCAACCACTGGGGCCTTCGGTGGAGTTCCCTATGCCACGCACCGTGTGACGGGTGTGCCAACATGGGCGCGGGACACATGTGGACGCAACCACTGGGCCTTCGGCGGAGCTCCCTAGGCTATAGGGGGCCACGTACCGTGTAAGGGTTGTGCCAAAATTAGCGCGGGACGCATGTGGACGCACCCACTGGGGCCTTCGGTGGAGCTCCCTGTAGGACCACGATACGTGTGAGGGCTAACTGTGCGGAAATGGGCGCGGGACGCATGTGGACGCAACCACTGGGGCCTTCGGTGGAGCTCCCTATGAGCCCACGAACCGTGTGAGGGCTGTGCCAACATGGACGCGGGACGCATGTGGACGCACCCACTGAGGCCTTCGGTGGAGCTCTCTATGCGGCCGCGAAGCGTGTGAGGGCTGTGCAAGAGTGGACGCGGGACGCCTGTGGACACAACCACTGGGGCCTTCGGTGGAGCTCCCTATAGGGGCCATTTACTGTGTGGGAACTGTGCCGAAATGAGCGAGGCTCCCTATGGGGGCCGCGTTCCGTGTGAAGGCCGTGCGGAAATGGGCGTGGGACGCATGTGGACGCAACCACTCGGGCCTTCGGCGGAGCTCCCTATGGGGCCACGAATCGTGTGAGGGCTAACTGTGCCGAAATGGGCGCGGGACGCATGTGGACGCAACCAGTGGGGCCTTCGGTGGAGCTCCCAATGGGGCCACGTACCGTGTGAGGGCTATGCCGAAATAGGCGCGGGACGCATGTGGCCGCAGCCACTGGGTCTTCGGTGGAGCTTCCTGTGAGGCCACGAAAAGTGTGAGGGCTATGCCGAAATGGCCGCGGGACGTATGTGGAGTCAGCTCCTTCGGTGGAATGGGGCCACGTACCGTGTGAGGGCTATGCCGAAATAGGCGCGGGACGCATGTGGCCGCAGCCACTGGGTCTTCGGTGGAGCTTCCTGTGAGGCCACGAAAAGTGTGAGGGCTATGCCGAAATGGCCGCGGGACGTATGTGGAGTCAGCTTCTGGGGCCTTCGGTGGAGCTCCCTATGAATGATGATGATGATGATGATGATGATGATGATGATGATGATGATGATGATGATGATGATGATGATGATGATGATGATGATGATGATGATGATGATGATGATGATGATGATGATGATGATGATGATGATGATGATGATGATGATGATGATGAGAATGATGATGGTGACGATGGTGATGATGATGGTGATGATGGTGATGATGGTGATGATGATGATGATGATGATGATGACGACGATGATGGTGATGATGATGACGACGACACGCGAAGGGCAGAGGCAGGAACGAAGGTGAAGGACAGAGGAGGGGGAGGTGCGCGGAGGAACGCGGGGCGCTGTCTCTTAAAAACGAGGACACAACACAGGAGGGTTGGGGACGCGGTGTACAGAGCTAAACCCAAACTAAACTCATGACACCGACCATGTATGTGGTATCATCGTCCTACCCACCGCAGAGTAGAGTCAGTCCTAACAGCATACAACTGCATCGGCAGTGCTTTGGGGTCTAAAAACACATCGCAATTTGGCAGAACCATCATCCGCCTCCATCACGGCAAGGAGCCTCATTTAGCTCGCCACAGGCACGCGTACTCACCGTGATCGGTATTTTCTTCTTCATGTCATCGAAGGGTCCCACCCCAGTGGGCCCTTGTGGCCCGTCGCGTTGACGCATGTCGTTGCGAAGCTGTCGTCGGAGATGCTGCTGTGGAGGGAAGGTAGAGGGTGGGGGTTGGGGTGCAGCGGTATCGGTACCTCTTCCTTCCCTAGACGACGACGACGGCTGCGACAACATTGACAACGACGACGACGACGACGACGACGACGACGACGACGACGACGACGACGACGACGACGGCGGCGGCGGCGACGACGACAACGACGATGACGACGACGACGATGACGACGACGATCCTGACGACGAGGACAGAGAACTTGCAAAGGGTTTAGTTTACAACCCGCGCATGGGGGGGGGGCGAGGACCTCGACGGTGATCTATGCCGCACCCCGACGAAGGCTCATCAAACCTTCGGCGCAAGGTTGTGACCCCTTACGGGGTAAGCCCCAACAGCGCCGATCGCAAACCACGCCCCGGCAAAACCACACCCATTCCCAGACATGTGTTGCCCTGTTGTTTTCAATACTCGGGAGCGTCCAAGAGGGGGGCGTCCAAGAGGGGGGGCGCAAATCATGGCCCGCGGCATGTGCTCGGCCCAGGGGGGGCCGGGGACGTGTTGAGATAAGAAGCGGCGCCATGAGATCTGGGGAGATATCATGGCCCCCGCCATGATATCCCCTCAACCCCCTCTTGGCCGCCCCCGATCAATACGGGAACCCTGCAAGTTCCGACTCATTTCCATCCTGAGCCGTTTTTGGTGATCCGTGGGCCTGGCGAGAGGGCCCCTAGAGGGGTAAAATGGCCAAAAACTGTCCGCCGTGATATAGGCCTCGGGAAAAGTAGCGAACACTCATGCCACATCCATCTGTCAACGCCTCCCCCTCCCCCCAAGGTTCAAAGTTGGCGGTGGGTTTGATGAGTCGCACCTCGACCGCAGTCTCCCCCGCGCGTGCCAACTTTGAGTTTGGGGGGAAGGGGAGTGTTCAGTAATTGTTCCCTCTACCGTATCTCTGCGACGCGAAAGTGTCTGGGCTTGTAGTCGCCGAACCAAGACGGCGGCGGCGACGCCTCCGTCGCAGAAGTCGAGCACGCGCTGCACCACGTGGCTGGCGGTGCGGTGGGTGGCCAAGCGCGGGGCGACCGGCAGCAGCCGCTCGGCCAACAGGCGACGGAGACAAGGAGAACCTGCCCTCCAGAGCTCGCCGGCCGTGCCGCCCGCAGCGTCGTCCTCGTCGTCGTCGTCGTGCTCCTCGGTGTCGTCGTCGTCGTCGTCGTCGTCGTCGCCGTCGTCGTCGTCGTCGTCGTCGTCGTCGTCGTCGTCGTCGTCGTCGTCGTCGTCGTCGTCGTCGTCGTCGTCGTCGTCGTCGTCGTCGTCGTCGCCGTCCTCGTCGCCGTCCTCGTCGCCCTCCTCGTCGCCCTCGCCGTCACCCGGGTCGTCGTCGCCCTCGTCGTCCTCGCGCGCCTCGCCCCGCCGAAGGAGGCCGAGGACGCGCCGGATGCCGCGAGAGGGCCTCGCGAGCGGCCCCGAGGAGGCCGCCGATGCCCCAGTGGGCCGCGGGCCGCGGCGCGCGCGGGGGGCATCGAGGCGAGCGGGGCGCGCGGGGCGAGGCGCGGCCGTCGGGGCCGACGCCGAGGGCGAGAGCGAGGCGGGGGGGGTCCGTGGCCGCCTGCGGCCCCCGGGGGGGCCGGGCTCGCACCCGCCAAGTTGGGCGCCCGAGTCATCCGGGGGTAACTCGGGCCCGGGGTACGGCAAGTTCGCGTCGTGTCGACCCCGGCGTTGGTTTCTGACACCGCGGGGATCGTTCAACCTTGAACGATCGGCCGTCTCCGCAACGTCCAATCGTTCAACATCGACCGATTCTGGGCCGCCGCCGGCGTTCAACCTTGAACGCCCGCGCTGGGGTCGCCGCTGGTCGACACGACGCAAACCTACCGTAACGCGGGTTTGGATTCCCGAAAAACGAACCCGAGGTAGCCCTGACCCGAGTTACCCCTGACGATTCGGGGCTCTGGGCGCCCGAGTTATCCGGGGCAACTCGGGCCATGGGGAAACGCGGGTTTGGAGTCCCGAAAAACGAACCCGAGGTAGCCCTGACCCGAGTTACCCCTGACGATTCGGGGCTCTGGGCGCCCGTGTTATCCGGGGCAACTCGGGCCATGGGGAAACGCGGGATCGGATTCCCGAAAAGCGAACCCGAGTTAGCCCTGACCCGAGTTACCCCCGATGGTTTGGGGCTCTGGGCGCCCGAGTTATCCGGGGTAACTCGGGCCCGGGGCAACGCGGGATCGGATTCCCGAAAAACGAACCCGAGTTAGCCCTGACCCCAGTTTCCCCTGATGGTTTGGGGCTCTGGGCGCCCGTGTTGCCCGGGGCAACTCGGGCCCGGGGTAACGCGGGATCGGATTCCCGAAAAACGAACCCGAGTTAGCCCTGACCCGAGTTACCCCCGATGGTTTGGGGCTCTGGGCGCCCGTGTTATCCGGGGTAACTCGGGCCCGGGGTAACGCGGGTTTGGAATCCCGAAAAACGAGCCCGAGGTAGCCCTGACCCGAGTTACCCCCGATGGTTTGAGGCTCTGGGCGCCCGAGTTATCCGGGGTAACTCGGGTCCGGGGCAACGCGGGATCGGATTCCCGAAAAACGAACCCGAGTTAGCCCTGACCCCAGTTTCCCCTGATGGTTTGGGGCTCTGGGCGCCCGTGTTGCCCGGGGCAACTCGGGCCCGGGGTAACGCGGGATCGGCCGATCCCGAAAAACGAACCCGAGTTAGCCCTGACCCGAATTACCCCTGATGATTTGAGGCTCTGGGCGCCCGTGTTATCCGGGGTAACTCGGGCCCGGGGCAACGCGGGTTTGGAATCCCGAAAATCGAACCCGAGTTAGCCCTGACCCGAGTTACCCCTGATGATTCGGAGCTCTGACCAAGTTTCCACGGACAGATCCCACCCCGGCCACTGCATCTTACCGAGACTGCACCCCACGGGCTGCACCAGAGGTACCGCACCTCCTGCACTCTACCCCCACGGACTGCACCTCACAGCGTCCCGCTGCATGAACGTACGCTGCGCAACATGCTCTCTTTGCACAGCAGAAGCTGCACCTCACGCTTACAACCATTTTGAGCGTTTGGGGCACAATCGCTTGCACCAACTGAGGATATCCAACAGCGCGTGCACTTCGGGTATCTTACTTGCGTTCTACGGACATCGGGGGGGCACAAAGGTGGGGCCGGAGGGAAGACCGCTCCGAGAACGTCCCCAGGAAAAAGGGAACCGCGTCAAACGGGATCGCCCAGCGGGGCCCGCTCCCCGGCCCCACCTTCTTGGGATCCCCCTCCCTCTACGACCCCCCGAGGGAATTCTACGGGAACAGCTCGGGGACCTTCTGACCCGAGTCAATCGAGACCCTGGTCAACAGGAAACCAAAAACTGCGATGCAGAAAAAAAGAAACAACAACAAAAAAAATGCAACGCGGGTCTTCGCAAACCCGGGTCCGCCAATATGCGCGGCCGGCTCGCTAACCCGGGCCAGCCAGAGGGGCTATTCGCAGGATCTGGTGCCCTGGCTGACCCCCGTTTGCATTGACCCCCTTGGGACCACCTTGGGACCACCCTCCCTCTGCGACCCCCCGAGGGAATTTGACGGCGCGCACAAGGGGGTGGAGGGAGGGGGCAAGGCTTCTTGGAAGGAGGCTGCTTCTCAGAAGGCACCGACCTCACATCTATAGAGAAAGCCCGCGCCCTCGAAGAAGCAGGGGTGCTTCTAAGAAGCCCTCCCCCCTCCCCCCACCCCCCTCTGCGCGTGGCTGGGCAATAAAACAGGGCTAGGATCGGGATAAATCGCTCCAGAGCGTTCCGGAGCGCTCTCAGAGCGTTCTGGAACGCCGATTCTCAAAGATTTCAAGTTATCCCGATCCGATTTTGTCCCGATCTTCGCGTCGTTTGAGGCAATTCCACGGGAGCCGCCCTGGTGCTGGTCCGGCCGGCTCCTCGCAGGCCGTCGCCGCCGCCGTCGCCGCGGGGGCCCCGGGCGGCAGATCCGGGCGGCTCGTCGCCGCCCGGTGGCACTCGCCCGGCGCCGCCGCCCGTGGAAAGTGCGGTGGCGACCGCGCGGCGTGGCATCCGCGGGGCATGGCACTGCGATCGCAGTGCAATCGCATTGCCTCGCATTGCGTCGCACAGTCATCGGCCTGACCTGAGGAACGACAAGTAGGGAACGAAGCCCCTTTGTATCCCAAGGGATAACGCATAAGGAACGATAGATAACAAATAACGCATAAGGAACTGTAAATAACGCATGCAAAACCTAAGGAACGACCGAGCCCCTTTTGAAAAGTAAGTGTTCCTTAGTCAAGCCGCTCACTGCATTGCGTCACGCGGCTTTGCACTGCTTTGCATCGCTTGTCTTTGCATGGAGTCGCATCGCGCCGCATATCGCGCTGCATCGCCTCTGCTTGGGCTTGCGTCGTGTGTTGCAGTGCTGTCCACTGCATCGAACTTCATGGCGCTGCTTTGCACTGCTCTGAATCGAGCTGCATTGCGTTCCGTGGCATTGCATAATGTTGCGCTGCATTGTGTTACATTGATTTGCATTGCGTTGCATTGCTTTGCTTTGCATTACATTTGCGCTGCTTTCCCACGAGTTGTCTGCCTTGCATATCATCGAATCGCTTTGCATGGCACTGCATTTCTTCGCAGTGCTTTGCATTGCAATGCACTGTCTTTACATTGCTGCGCACTGCTTTACATTGGCTTTCATTGTCTTGCACTGGTTTGCAGTGCTTTGTACCACATAGATTGCGCTACATGGATTGCACCACACGGATTGCACCACATCGGTTGCATCACCTAGATTGCACTGCGTAGATAGGGAGAAATCAATGCTTGGGGTCTACGCTGGCTGACGTTCGTCGTCATCGTCGCCGCCGCGTGGTCCTCCTGCAAGTCGCCGTCGTCTTCCACGGCGTCTTCCTCGTCGTCGCCGTTGTCGTCGTCGTCGTCGTCGTCGTCGCAATCGTCGTGCTCATCCTCATCTCATCCGCATCGTCATCGTCCTGCTCGACCTCCCGCACGCGTTCCTCCTCCTCCTCCTCCTCCTCCTTCTCCTCCTCGTCATCCTCATCGTCATAACTCTCGTCGTCGACGTCGTCTTTACTCATCGCACTCTTCGTTGGCATCGCCAACAAATGCCCCTCCTCCGCCCCCTCATCCTAAATCCCTGCCCTGCTCTGTCCCACGCCCTCAAGGAGGTAGGGAGGCACCCATGGCCCGAAGGCGCTTGGCAGTGCACCCGCAGCTGAAGCCGAAGCCAAAGCTGAAGTGCGCAGAAAGCCAAAGCTGAGGTCCACTGAAGCAACCAAACCAGAAGTGCACAGGGGAGAAAGAGTGGGAGGAAGATGAGGTTGGAGGCCTTCGCCCAACTTGGAGAATGAGGAGGAGCATGAGAAGTAAGCTGAAGTGCACAGAATTCGCCAAAGCTAGCGCAGGCAAGAGGAATGAAAGAAGGAGAAGGAAGCGTGAAACACATGCTTCGAGCGGCCCCACGGAACGCACATGAAAATTTACATACAATTCCGAGCCATTTTTCCTAATATTCCCCTCCGAAAAATCAAATTAACGAGTAAATAGTTCCCCAATCAGTGCTTGCACTGAAGGGGTCCAAGCGGAAGTTGAAAAATTTGGCAAAAAAATCCCGCCGATTTTGGTGGCAGCCTGGGTTCCCGGGTTCCCCGTTCCGGGTTCCCGGTTCCGGTTTCCCGGGTTCCCGGTTATTGGTTCCGGGCCGATTTCGGTGGGTTCTGGGTTCCCGGGCTCACGGTTTCCCGGTCGATCTCCTCAGCGACAACCATCCACTGATTGGGGCTTCTCTGCTGCAAATAAACATATAATGACCTAGTCTTACATATACTTAACGATACAAAGAGTACGACGGAGGCTCAGGGCAGGGCTGCACTCCCAAGCCGCACGCAGCCAACCCGCCCTTGGCCATTCCACAGCCGCGGGCGGCGGGCTCCCTTAGGGAAAGGTGGGCAGCGAGCCTGGGGGCGTCTCCCCCGCTGGGCGCATAGAGTGGGTGCCTCGCGCGAGTATGTCAGCGTCTACTGTGACAATCGCCCCCCCCACCTCCCATTCCCTCCTAGTGATAGGAGGCCTGGAAATGGGCACCAACACCAACACAGGGTGTTG